ATTTTTCACCTTGAGAGGTTCAGTGGTTTACTGCATATGTGTGCGTATGCCTGTGTATGCAGGCATGCACACGTGCGCACACACACCCCAAAGAGAAATAAGAGGCTCAGGTTTCTAATATGGTCATACTAATAACTTGTCTATGTGATGTTGGCCACATACTTCATCCTGTAGACATCAGCTTCATTTATAAAATAATTTCAAAAAAGATTCTAAGACACCTAGAATCTCTTTGGCAATAAAATTCTGTAATTCTATAGTTTTAAGAATGCTTAGCTGGTCTTAAATTCACTTTACGTTACTGTTGGAAAACCTAGTCTTCAGACCAGTTTCTTCCTCTTTTAGTAAACAATATTCGAAATATTTAAATCCAAGAAAACAATTATTTCTGCATTATTTTTTTTTTAAGTAGGCTCCACGCCCAGTGTAGGACTTAAACTCACGACCCTGAGATCAAGACCTGAGCTGAGACCAAGAGTCAGATGTTTAACCGACTAAGCCACCCAGGTGCCTCTTTCCCCACTAATTTTAAAAGTTTCTTCTCTAATATGATGCCATCTTAATATAATAATACTCACAGTTGGGAAGGCTTCCATGCTTAAGAGGAGTTACTGAGTCATCAGGTAATTTTAGTGATAGGAGAAACAATCAATCTTTAAACATGTATTAAAAATTTTTCTATAATTATTTTCCCATACTGACAACAACAAAAACTATATGCTATATATTTTAAAAATTTGGTCTGCACCACTGTTTCCTTTTCAGTCTGATGAGAACTGCAAAAGGGTTAAAATTTTAAATTCTCCTTAATTTAAGTAAATCCTAAAAATACTCTTACAGAAAGACAGACAAAGGGAGGATGTTTCTACGGAAAGAATCCTGACTGAGAACGCTGAGAAAGCACAGGTATGCATCTTGTTCACACAACATTCCATAAAATTGATTGTACATCTCTGGATCTATAAAACTGAAAATACTATCCTCATTGGTTCACTATAAAAATTATATAAGACAGAAAAAGTCAAGGTAGCTTGTACAGTGATGGCCACAGTAGGCTCTCAACCACCGTAGCTATTACTTTTTAATGCCATGAATGTAAAGGAGGGAATAAACTTAGTTTATTATGTTACAAGAAATGAGATTAACAGTGCTCTAAGTGCACTAAGACAGCGACAAGCTGCTCAAATTCTTCACACTCTCTCTCTTCTTTCCCATTCCCCACCCCTCACAAAACTCCTCCCCCCAAAATAAGACTTACCCAAATAAGGAAAAAAAATGAAAGATTCTCAGGAATTCCCTGCTCTCCTCCCTAGCTTCCACATATAAACTTCTGCTTTTTGCAAAGAAAACATTGACAACTTGGCCTATGTTTAGCTTGTAACCTTAACAGAGATTCTAGAGTAGTCTATTGGGCTAGGTCTCAGGTATATGTGTTTCTGGCTACTTTACTCTGCCTAAGTCATTTATTAGCCTACTTAAGATACATTATATTAGACCAAACCACATAAGTAATATTCCTGTAAACTCATGCAGTCTTTGAATATAAGGTTGTATAAGACCTAAAGGGAAAAGCAAGATCAGAGGAATCTTATTTATGTTCACTAAGATTAAAGAGACAGAACTCTAAAGAGAATATGTTTTCTTACATATAAATTTGTTCTAAAATTATTATAGAATTAATTTCTATTTATCATCTCTTACTCTAGACACTTAAGAATCATCCCTACTCCCTAAATTTTTAAAATACCACCCGTAAATTGGTTTTCTTTCTGAAGTGTTCTTCTTCTGGGACTAATCCACTAATAATAATCAATGTTGTTTTGATTTCATAACTTAGTATTTTTTTTTTAAGTAGGCTCCACGCCCAGAGTGGAGACCCGAACTCACAACCCTAAGATCAAGACCCAAGCTGAGATCGAGTTGGATGCCCAACTGACTGAGCCACCCAGGCATCTCAATGACTTAATATTTTTTATTCTTTCTCTGCCCCACTTAGGTTCCACAGTCCCTCTCAATAACAGGTAAAATGTATGAAGAACATACTATATGCCAAATGTGTTATACAGTTTCTCAATATCAAATAACACTATGAGGAAGATTCAATCACTGCCATTTTACAGCTGAGTAAACAGGCTCACAGAGTTGAAGGTACTTGCTAGTCAGTGGTAATATCCATATACTCTGATTCCAAAGCCAACTTCTAGTTGATAAGCCTATGCTAATCCTTTTCTGCTGCCACAGTGAAGAGCTGGGAGAACAGTGCTAGGGCCCAGGTTTACTTTCTGTCTCCTAAGACAACACTGAAGAGAAATCTCTATTCCTGTTCTGTTTGCCACCTTTTTCTAACTATAATCAAAAGGGCTAACTTGGATACACTGGAACTAAAATATTTATTGCTATCAGAAAGTATACTCAAGTAAATCCACAAGCAACACTGTAATTTTGTAAAACTCAAGACTGAAGTTACACGTCAATAAAATCAATTCAACAACTATTTATAGAGAACTACTATGTTTTAGATGCTTGGGATAAATCAGTGAACAAGGCAGATCAGGAACCTCTACTGCCTTAGTAGAGGTTTCTAACAGAGAAAATAGATAATAAGCAAAATAAAATTAAGTATATTATGTGATATCCTGGAAGTTAAGAGCAGACAAACTGCAGTGTTACATGTGGCAGTCAGGCATTATTAAGATGTCAATCTGAGCACAGATTTGAAGAAGATGAGGACCTGAAAGAGATGAATAATAGCAAGTGGGAAATGGGAAGAGCATTAAGGCAGAAGAAACAGTTAATAGCGAAGGCCCCGAGAACATGGCTAGAGCAGAAGAAGCAAGGAAGAAGAGCGGTAAGAGAGAAATTAGTTGATGGTATAACAGGCAGTAGATCACATAGGGTCTTAGAAGCCACCGAAAAGGACTCTGGCTTTTACACAGAATAGGTTTAAAGAGTTATGAGCAGAAAAGTGATCTGATTTGATCTTAGGCTGCTGTGTTGAGAATATATGAAGGGGGGGGCAAAAAAAGAAACAGGGAGATGTGAAGAGGCTACTACAGTAGCTCAGGTAAAGGTGACAATTCAGATGAGGTTAGTGTAATCTAAGTGCTAAGAAGCAACCAGAGTCTAAATAGATTTTGAAAGTAAACAGAATTTCCTGACTGACTGGATATGGGATGTGAAAAATGAAAGTAAAATTCTTGGCCTCAGCAACAATTAAGAGAAGATGTCCATGAACTGAGACAGTAAAGACAGGTAAGGAGAGCATTCTAGGGATTGGTGGGGGGGTGAGGTAAATTTGAGATGTCCTGAAGGCTAAGTGAAAGAGGGATAAGGAAGGGGGGAGTGATCATCCGTATTATATACTGCTCAAAGGCCAAGGACTAGGAAGACTCAGACTGACCACTAGATTTAGCAATTTAGGTCACTATGGACTTGATTTTTTTTTTTCAAGAAGTTTTGATACAAAGGAAAGCAAAAGAAAGGAAAAGTAGTGGGCATCTGAGGCCAAGAAAAGCTAAAAGGAAACAGATTTCATCTACTGCCCACCACAAGTAAAATAGAGTATGGAATTTGACCAAATTAACTGACAGATTTTTTTTTTTAAACTGATACTCAGAAGAGACCATAACATAATAGACTATAATAATCTATTATTAAAAATGTCTAACATATAATCCAAAATTGCTAGACAAAGAAAGAGGACAATGTGACTCACCAGACATTAGAATTAGCAGTTAAGGATTTTTAAAGTAGTAATATTATAATTATGCTCAAGGATGTAAGAGAAAATCTTCTTGAAAGAACAAAGAGGAAATCTCATAAGAAAATAGAAACTATAAAAAAAAGAACCAAATGGGCATTCTAGAAATAAAAAGTACAAGATCTGAAATTAAAAAAAAAATTCATTGAATGGACTTAACAGAAAATTGGGGATGATAAAAGAAAGGGGCAAGCCAGCTTTAAGACATGTCAAAAGAGAGTTAAAATGATATCCCACCTGAAGAAAAAAACAGAAAAAAAATTATTTAATTAAGAACAGAGCCTTAGAGATCTGCGGGATAATATCAAAAGGACTAAAATATATGTAACTGGAATCCTATGAGAGAAAAGAGAGATGGGGCAGGAAAAAAGGTTGAAAGGAATAACAAAGCAGATTTTCCTCAAAATTGGTCAAAACAAAACAAAACAAATATTTAAACAAAATTTAAAAATTCAAGAAGCTCAGGGGCGCCTGGGTGGCTCAGTAGGTTAAGCATCTGCCTTCAGCTCAGGCTCCTGGGATCCAGCCCCGCATCAGGCTCCCTGCTCAGGGGGGAACCTGCTTCTCCCTCTCCGGCTTCTCCTGCCTGTGTGCCCCCTCCCTCCCTCTCTCTCTGTGTCAAATAAATAAAAAAAAATTTAAGAGGCTCAGCAAATCACAAGGAAGACAAAGAATACCATGCCTAAGGCACATCATATTTAAATGTCTGAAAACCAAAGATAAAAAATAATTTTAAAAGCAGCCAGGAAACAATGACTCATTCCATACAGAGAAACAATATCAATAAATGCATGCTGACTTCACATGGGAAACAATGAGAGCCAGGCGACTGTGAGAGGACATCTCTAAAGTGCCAGAAAAAAAAAAACGTCAACCCAGAATCCTACAGCCAGTGAAAATATCCCACTGGAATGAGGGTGAAATAAAAACATTTTCAGATAAAGAAGTCTAAGAGTTAATGACTTCAGTAGATCGACACTAAAAGAAATGTTAAAGTAAGTTCTTCAGATTGAAGGCAAGTAAGATCAGACAGGAACCTGGTTCTTGAGGAAGAAATGAAGAGCAAGAAAAATGATAAATACATGGGGAAAAATGAAAGACAATTTTTCCTCTTAATATGTTTAAAATACACATGACTGTTTAAAGATATAAGTGATAGCTTGATGATAAATCAGCCTCAAAAATAGTTTCTCCTTTCTTATCTATACCTCCCTCCCGTATTTATAGAAAAGTGTAGTACCTGTTTTAGTTTCAAAAAGAAATTTTCAGTAGTACTACGTTTGCTGAAGGGCCAGAATAATCTTTCATTAGGTGAGCAAACACGGACTTTTGTCTCTATGAGAAATCGAACAGGCTCCTGTACTTCTGTTATTACCAAATCAACAGCTGTGGTCATAAACAGCACTTTATCTAGAGAGAGAGGGGGGGGAGAAGCAAATAAAAAAATGGAAATATCTTTGCTCATACAATTAATGTAAAAGTAATTACTTTTCTCACAAACTTTCAAGATAGCTTAAGGTGATCCATTAATTAAATCAAAATCTAAAATAATCAGATAAATTGCTGTTTTGAAAACTTTTTCTGTATTGAGAATTCTTTGCTTGGGTAGACTCCTTGGAATTAGTGACAGCATTACATAAAAGTTTATGAAATGTTCTGTCAGACTGATCTGCAAAAGTGGCATACGGCCTCTTCATGCCACTCTCACCAACACTGGGAATTCTCAACTTTTAAAATCTTGGCTAACTTATCCATTTATCTATAGTGCTATGAGTAAAAAGAAAAAATGAAGGGGAAAAAAAAATAAATGCTCAACAGGAGGCACTAGTTAAGCAAATAATGTTACATTTTCAGGATAGAATATTATACAGCCACTAAATGGCATTCAGGAAGAGTAGGAAATAACTTGAAAAAGGTGGTTTCTGCACAAAATATCTGAAAAGCTACATATGAAACTGGTCACAATGGTCCTCTTGGGGTGGGGCCCTGAGGACTATGGTCAATTTTTACTTTCCCCTCTATATCCATATGTGCATATGTTAAAAATAAAATTTAGAATTCTGTATATAAATAAGTACATGAATAGAAAAGGAAGCAGGGAAGTGAAAAATTGAGGAGGGAAAAATAAGTGGGGAAAAATGATACTTTGTTAATACAAGGTCAAATTTAATAATAAACTCAAAGACCTATACAAATTCTTTGGTTTCACCAGAATTAAAAAACACTGATATTTGTCAAATAAGTGGTCCTAAGGCCTGGGTATCTTTTTGGGACCAAAATTTCTGTTCATGGTATCAATAATCTGCATCACCTTTAGGAGTTTCTTCATTTACAACTTGAAAAGGTAGAGATTTTGGATTCCAGCTCCCAGTGATAACATAGGACTTTCCATCCGAACTTTTGCCCATAGATTCCTAAAGAAAATAGTAAAAACAAACATTAATGCCAAAATAAAGGAACAACAGCTAGCTCCCATTTTGCTGCCTTTAAAAAACAGGAGTCACGAAAATGTAAAAATATGAAAGAGGGTCAGATATTTTTTAAAAAGTAGAAATATATGTGAATGAGACGACTGCAGTTAAAATGAAAGATGTGCCAATTATTTATGCAATTGCTCCTGGAAAATTATAAAGTAAATGCTTACAAATCATATCAAATTCTACAAATTTAGAGAAATTTACCACCTGAATCTATGCTGAATTCTTCTGTCAAGTGCATAATTATCACATAAATTTTAGTTTTGAAAATAAAGATTTTCACATAATAGCAACAATACTAATACCACCTACTTTTAAAAAACTCATGATAGTTTGTAAACACTTCCCTCACGAACTCTCTCTTTGATTCCAACTTCAACCTTAAATTATAAACAAGGATTATTCACCATTATACAGTGAAGAAACCGAGGCTGAGACTAAATAGGTCTAAGGTGAGACTAGTAAATATCAAGTCAGAAATAAGGAAATTCTTTATCTTTGTTTATTGCTATTATAGCTCACAAGAACACCTTCACAAAAGTGCTTTACCATCAGATTCAAGTGAGATAAAGTGAAACCTTTATCAAGGAAATAGTGTATAACCTTAAAAAGAAAAGCAATCCTTACCAAATCTAACAAGTGCATGTCACTATTTCGTACATCTTTTCCTGGGCTAAGGAGAAGACCAAAACACCTGCAAAGAAAGAACAGGCATAAATTTAGAAGAAAGATAACAGAAAAAAGACGTGTAAACTAGGTCATTTAAAATTCTTATTGATGGATAAAGGACACATTAAAATTATCAATAAATTAGCATTGCTCAAATAACCTTACTTCTTTTACTTACAGAAACAAATTCTCTTGTCTTTTATTATCACATAGTTGAAGGCAGCATATTAGCTGATGATTTATGGGAGCTAATTCAAAGTGAACTAAGTATTCACTTCAATAACCAAAAGAATTCCCCAGAGGACAAAATTTTTGCAAATATATTTTTGAATATAGTATATGGTTACTCCACTGGATTGATAAAAATGAGAATTTATATTTAAGCTGAATTTACTAAAAATGTTTACCTTTCAATGGCCAGTTCTTTATTAGTTGTTTGTTGCACATAGATGACAATCTTCTTATCAGTTCCTTGGCGAAGTTTAAAGCACTGTCTGTCCTTCTCTTTAGGAACTGCACTGTAGAACAACATGTTTCATTAATTTTGCAAAGTATTTTCTTGTGACATATACTAGAAACAACCTCTCTTGAATCTAGGGTTCTTTTGTATGCCTGGTTTTCAAGTCATCACAGAAATTTAAAAATCATCATCTACCTCTTGATGTGAAAATATTATCACTACTGTATGTAATCCACTAAACAATTTATAAGAGCTAGAAAAAACTCAAATGCTCCCTAAAATGTGATTTAATTTAATTTTCTGTTGTGAAATTAAGTTAGATATCTGTAAAGCACTTAGCATGGCATCTAGCACATAGGCACTCAAAAAAACATTAGTTTTCTTTCCTTTCAATTTAGTCACTTTTTTTTTTTACAAATATTTATTGTCTTATTTGTTTAAATATGTAATAAAGAAAAAATACTTAATCATACATCCTTTGAATTCCAAAAAAGGTACCTTCAAAAAATAATAGAGATAAGGAAAATAAGGCCAACAGTAAGCTGTTGCTTAATGCTTCCCTTAAGCAGTGATAACCTTCTTATTCACATGTGCAATAACTATAAAAATAATACTAATGATATACTTAAACATCACCTTAAGAAAAAAGTTGAAAATATTCTTAAAATTAGAGTTTACCAAAATAATCCCCTACTCTCCCACACACCACTTTCTCTGGCTCCTTTGTTCTCAAAAGCAAACATCTGCCAATGGCAATCAGCCAACATGCAGCAAATACAAATTATGTCTTCATACTGTACAACTTTAAAATAATGGTAGCAAAACCATTAAAAGATACTATAAAAGACTACATGAGAGTTCTAGGTACCTACTCAAACTAAAAAGTGGCTCTGAAAAATTAAATTAGCTTTCTGTTTTTTTTAAAAAATAAAATTAGTTTGAAGACCATCTGTACTTATAGAGTAACCAATTCAAAAACACTCTATGAAACTAAGATAAGAAAATCAAAGAGTCAGGGTGCCTGGCTGGCTCAGTTAGTGGAGCATGTGACTCTTGATCTCAGGGTTGTAAGTTCGAGCCCCATGTTGGGTACAGAGATTACTTTAAAATAAAATCTTAGAAAAAAAAGAAAGAGAAAAGAAAAGAAAACCAAAGAATCTTAGCAAAGGAGTCTGGAAATGACAAACATTCGCAAAGAAAACTTCTGCAAACCAAACTTAAATATTTATAACTGACAGAATTTTCACCTATAAGGATATAGACAGGTCTCAATTTTCAACTGGTAACAGACAAACTAGTCTTTATGTTCCGCGGATGCTGACACAGAAATAAATATAATCCCATCTCTTAGCAGTATTTAAAACAACAACAGATATACAGTTCTCTCTGGTGTCCTAATGCTGAAGTATAAGGAAAAGCCACATTAACAGGAAGCAGAGTGGAGACTGTAAGCAGTGAAGTTCACTTCACTGCTGTCAGGGAGTTTAGATTATATTTCTAGTCTTGTCTTCGTATCATTGAATAGATCCACCCCAATAATTTTACATTGATTTCCTACTATATAAATTACAATACTGAGATCCAGGCTTAACATCCCTGGGCTTCTTTACCTATAAAACAAGTATCAAATACCCAGCATACCTAATAGAGTTATATGGTAGAATAAATAAGACAAAAAAGTGCTTTGAATGGTATAAATGAAAATGCTCCACCTTCCTAAGGGCTAAATTGAAAGTAGGTTTCTAACATTAATAATGTAAGAATTATACTTTTTCAAGGATGAAAAGAAGAGCATTAATTCTTGTCACAACACTTTGTATTTACGTTAGAGTAAAACCACAATCTATCTTGTGCTATGGTTACTTACATATACCTGTATTTTTTGGATAGGTGCTAAATCATATGGTACATCACTATATCATGTTCTTAATGAAATACAACAAACATACAACATTATATTAATTTGAGGTGAATAACAATGCTTTGACATTTGTATATATTGTGAAATGCATATTTTAATTATTCTGGTGAACATTTAATTTCCACTTTTTAATTTTGTTATTATAAACAGTATTAAAGGGGAACATCCATCTTGATAATTCTTTAAGTACCTCGATGATGTTTCTGCAAAATAAATTCCTGGACATATTATAGAATCACTGGAAAAAAACAACTGCATTTGGCCAGTTCAAATTTGATAAAGAGAGGCTTACTTTTCAATAAGTTCATCACTATAACAAGGCCACAAAACACTATTTTCTATTATAAACTACAAATTCAATAAAACCATGTAACAAAAAAAGAACAAAGCCCTGACAAATGTGAAAAGCAAAATGACCATCTAGGGATTTTCTGTATAGCATTTCCTTGGTGTGAAGGTGAACAGAACAGGGATGTTTGTGATTACGATCATTCTACCTTGAACATGCCTGAGTTCAGAAGCAAGAGAACTAGTTCTAGTGCTTCTGAGAGATCTTAGACATCGTTCCTATTTATTTTTTATTTTTATTTTTTATTTTTTATTTTTATTTATTTGAGACAGAGAGAATGAGAGACAGAGAGCATGAGAGGGAGGAGGGTCAGAGGGAGAAGCAGACTCCCT